AGAGGGACAAAGGCAAGATTTGAGGGAAGACGAAAGAAATAGAAGGAGGTTGAAGATGAGAAGAAGAAGACGATGAAGGAGAAGGGGGGAGAGAGAGAGAGATGAAAAAGAGAGGTAGAAGAAACGAAGAAGGAGAAGAACAAAACCAGAAGAAGGAGAAAGAAAAAGAAGGGGAGGGGGAAGAGCGAGAAAGAATAAGAGAGAAAGAAAAGAAAAAAGATGGGGGAGGGAATGGTCAATCGTGGGTATGGGTGATTGAGTAAGAGAAGAAAGAATGGTATTTTTGGAAAAGTGTTGATAAAAACGTAAAGTGAGAAGATTATTTTTGGACGGAAAAAAACGTAGAGTGGGAAGATTATTTTCAGACGGAGGGGGTAATATTTTTTGAGCAATGTACGCTCATTTTTGGCACAATTTGAACATGAGTATGATATTGTATCGTTCCGTTTCAAAATGGAATGGTATCGAATGGTTTTATTTAGAGTTTATCCCGTACCGATAGCGAACCATTTAAATAGGAGCGAACCGTGATAGGTTCTGGTAGTATCACATATCGTTATGGATCACGCCCACCCCTAATATTTAAAGTTGTATCCATTCTGATCTAATCTTTGCTGATGTGATCTGATCTGGTCTAATCTAATTCAAAAAGAAAAAATAATAAGTAATAAAAAATACTCCCTCCGTCCTATAATGATCTTCCCAGAGCACTATTCCAACTTCACGGGAATTTATATTTATTTGTGTTTTTTCATGGCCTATATGATAAAATAAAATACTCTTGTCACCACTTGTTTTGTTGAACTTTTGGTGTAATTTTTAAATATGTATGTTTTATTTTTTATTTGTATACCAATATTTAAATAAAATAGATTGAAAAAACTTGGGATTTTTCTTCGTTTTGCGAATTGGGAAGATCATTATAGGACGGAGGGAATAACATGAAGAAAATTTGGCTTTTAATACGGAGTATAAGTATAAGGGGCTGTTTGTTTCAGCCTCTTAATGATTCAGATGTTTGAATGGTTCAGCACTTAATGGTTTAGACTATTTGTTTCAGTCACTAAATGGTTAAGTATTATACAGAGTCTGAATGGTTAAGACCTCTTATCTGAATTGATCAGACATTTGCCTCTGAATAGTTAAGCAATATACTAGCTCTTAATGCTTCAGACCTCTTACTGGTTCAGCACTTAATGGTTCAGACCTCTTACTAGTTCAGCACTTACCTATTCAGAAGTTACCAAACACCCCCTAAATGTATAACTATATTCTACTCAAAATAGAACTTATTCAAACACAACATGACCTAAATAAATGCGAACACCTCTATTAAATAGTGACCCTACCGTCCATGTGAGGGGAACGTGCATACTCCTCCGTATGATGCAGCCGTTACTGATATACGTGTCCATTTGGATCCATGTGCCACGCGTCGACGTGCTATTGCCCCTTTTATTTCCCATGAATACAACTACTATTATTTTCATCCGTCTAATTTATTTTAATTCCAAAATAGTCGTGAGAAATCTTATGATTGATTGATATAGCTCTCGTTTTTTTTCAAATTAGATGTCACATGTTCAAGTTTTAGTGAATATTAATTCGTTGTGTTTCATTCTTTCTTCAGTTTAAGTAAAATATTTTAAATCACATGTCTTTTAATTGCTCTCCATGTCATAGATATCTCCAAATTGATCTTTTTTATTCTATAGTTTTCAAGACAAGTTAAAAAGGTATTAATTTATCAAGTTATTTTTAATAAAGGTGGACACAGTACAATATATGTATTAAACTCGGACAAACACAACGAGCCTTTGCAAAAAATCAAAAGATATATGACAAAGTGAGAGAGTATTTACTATAAAAAATTTGAGTGCGGTATAATTTTAATTTTATAAGCATTTCAAAATTAAAAGTATACATCTTATTCTCCACATGATGAGTGACACCATATTATTTTCAACTTATTTTTATTATTTATTACCTTTTCTTATTAGAATCAATTCAGATCAGATGAGACTAGATAAGATCAAATCAAATTCGGAACAACTTTAAATATAACTATATTCAGGTCAGATCAAAACTTATTCTAATCAGATCAGAATTATTCAAATCAGATGAAAAAAACATGGTCTGAATGAGGGAGTAAATTAAATAAAACAGGGGTGGGGGGGGGGGGGGGTAAATTA